CTGCCTGAGGCCTGAGTAATCAGGAGGCTCTCGTACTGGACCCTAAGCGCGCTCGTCAGGAACGTTTTCGCACGCTTCTGCAACCAATGCCAAGATGTCCTGCGTGGCTCTGCTGAGTGCGAGCTGCACTGACCTGTGAGGTTCCAAGGGGGCATCGAGGTTTGCCCGCGCATTCTTGACCGCATGGGGGAGCAAGTTCGGCGCCACAAAGTAATCAAAACACGATTCATGCGGGCCCGACTAGCACGCAGGGATCGAATCATCAGCCTGGGCTCTGCCATCGAGCTGGACACGGTCGACGCCCTCAGGACATTTGGCCAAAAGGATATTAAAGCCGCCACCTGCGATGTAGAAGTGCCCGTGTGTTGATACATCTTGCCCCAATGCTATGAGGCATCCCAAGTACCCTACGCCTACTCCACCCCCAGACGTTAGCTATATATAATGAATAGCGACGATGCCGAACTTAGACTTGCGCAGGAAGCATATGGCGGCTCCCCCTGGGATTACTGATTCCTGGTTGGGGGTGGCCCAGGCATCGAGGTGCGGCTTCACGATGATGAGCGCGCCACTCGATAATCCCCAATACTTGCCTGGAAAGCCTTCCGCCCCGAAAACATCCCATCCTTTCTTCCTCTGAGCCGATGCTGCATTATGATGCCTCTGCCCCCGCAACCTGCGCTCTTGGACGAAGATCACATCTGCATCAAATCTGCCCAACAAAGCCCCCCCGCCCCCCCCCCCGCGAAGACGCGCTGAGCGTCGCGATGGAGAAGTCGGAAAGGTTAGAGGAGCGGAGTTGGGCGCGGCGCCGACGTCGAGGTCGGCAGCGGGGCCCGGCCGCCCCCCCTGCCTGAGAACCCTCAGTGGGGGTCGACGACATCGCCTCCTCCTGCTCCTGTTCCTGCTGCATCTGCTGCTGGGGCAGGAAGTTATGCGCTCGCTGCTGCTGCTGGGAGAGGGGCTCTTGGTGCGTGCGCTCCTGCATTTGCTGCTGCCGAGCTGCCACTTGCGTCCGACCATTCTTTGCCCTGACATCCTCCCTCCTGGGCTGGCGCTCCCTTGCCCTTCTTCTTCCTACCCTTTGCCAGTGACTTCTTTGCATACGAGCCCACCATCTGCGCATATGCCTCTGGAGTGGTCCCTGGAAGGACTGAGCAAGGGACAGCACGGGAGGTTTGGAGCTGGGCCAGGAACGCCCACATGTCCACATCTGCTGGACTCTTAGGGCCCTTTGCGCAGCCGCGCTCCTCATCCACATCCTCCACAGTTTTTTTCTGGTGTAGACCTCTCCTGAAAAGGGGGTCGCGCCCACGCCTTCTGCCTCCGCGCGAAAATCCCCACTTCATCCTCTTCATCCCCCAAACCTTGTTCTTGGAACTCCACATGGTATCCACCCAATATGCGATCTTTATCGGGATGATCATCGAGGACTTCGAGAAGAGCTGCGAACTTACGATGTGGTTGGCCCTCATCAGGGGCTGCAACATGTTCGCGTAGCCTTTGGGCCTGCTGTTGCTGGACCGTGCCGATATCAGCCTGCACCTTATCTGCCTGTTCCGAAAGAAAATTATTCTGGATCTGGAAGGATTCCATAATGGTACAGATCTCCTGAACTTCACCCTGGAGTTGTTCGAGTCTCTTTTGCGTGCTGCTGATCGCCTGCTCTCCCTTTTTCGCAAGACCTGCGAAAGGGGGTTGCTGTGCCAAGCGTTCCTGACAGACCGAACCCACTGCTGCTTCAAACTGAGAAACCACATCTGGATCGATCTGGGCCTGCTTGAGGTGGGGGTGAGGGTGTCCTGGATGCTATGCTCCAAGCATTGGGGCCCGCTTTTGGGGCGAGGTGGGCGAGAGTTGAGGTTCGGAGGGCGAACGTCTCCTGACCCCTTGCCATACTGCTGGAAGTGGTTGGTTGGAGGGGGCCCACATCCAATTGCCAAAACCTTCGCCTCCTGGACCTGGAGCACCTTGGTAGGCACCTTTGCCCTTACTTACTTTGCCACCAGTTTTGCCCCCCTGTGAGAAGCCTGACTGATGAACATCTCCTCTTCCTCTTCCCACTGCTGCTGCAACATTCCCCTGCCAAACTCCCAAGAACGGGGGCGCCGAAGGGCACTGCTGAGTGACACGAGGAAGAGGAGCATGACAGTGGTAACAAGTTTTGTACCACGGGGGGTTCTTCTTGTTGCCACAACTGGGGCACACCAAGCCATGGCTGGACATGGGAGGTGCCCGAACACGGAAGAAATGCGGCTGCGGCCCCACGAAACCGAAAACCAAAAGGGCTGAGCCCCTTGAGCCAAAATGGCTACGGAGAGCCACCAAAGTCCTCCTCCTCCTCCCTCACGCACGTCGTGCCCTGCGGACCTCTAGAGCAGAGACGCTCAGCATGCGCCCAAGATGGCTCAGGGGAGCTTCGATCCGGCTCACCTCTTACGCACCTCGTGCCCCGTGGACTCCCAGAGGCCCTCAAGCTAGCCTCCCAGTATGGCTCAAGGGGGATCTGAATTCGACACGCTCCTCACGCACTTCACACCCCACGGACTGCCAGAGGCCTTCAGCTGCCCCCCAAAAAGGCTCAAGGGAGCTTCACTGAAGCACACGCCCGACGCACATCGTGCCTCATGCACTCAAGAGGCCACCAACTTGGCAAGACGCCCCCCCGGCCCCACAGGGACGCCAAGACGGCCTCAAGATGGATTGCAACGATTGGTACCAAACCTCGTCAAAGCCATGCCCCAAACAACGACTGATGGAAGATCTTCGGGCAAGATTCCCTGCGGGGGGTACGCCGTGACTCCAGCCCTGCGGGCTCAAAATGTTTCAAGCGGCGTGTCCCAAAAAAGCGGTTCCTTGAGCTCAACCGCGCAGAACTCCCGACGTCTTAGCTTCAATGAATTTCTGCTGCTCGCGCAGCCGCGTCAGTGCTTCACTCTTCTGCGAGCCAAAACGACCCCTGTCCTTTCTGGTCGTGCGGGCGCGGCAAATGAGGGACGCAGGCGGCTGCAACCGTGCACCGAAATGGATCCCCTGCAACGATAGGAGGCGCCCTGAGGAGATAGGAGAATGGAGAGAGGAGGATGGAGAGGAGGGTGAAGACAGCGAGGAGGAGGAGGAGGAGGAGGAGGAGGAGGAGGAGGAGACGGAGGATGAACAATAATGAATTCGACGTTTCACTTTCTTGGAAGCGGAAAGGGCGGGATGGGGTGGAGGAGAACAACAACAAAGAAGAACGAGATGCGTAGAAGTTCTCGAGGGGAGGAAGAGGCAGAGTTGGAGGTGGCGGCGGGGGAGCACCCCCAAAACGCTCTCTTGGCATCGCGTTTCTCTCTGCAGCGGCTGCCCAGGAACAGTGCGCACGCCGCAGAATTCGCTGGGCATGCGGGCCGGATGGCGCGCTCAGCACCCGGCCGACTCAGCGAAGCAGCAGTTGCCCGGGCAGCGGTCACAATTACAGCCGGCGCCCTCAGCGCGACCGGAGCGGCTGCTCTGCAGCTCCAGCCACGCCGACTGCTCGACCTGGAGGAAGGGGAGAGGAGGGCGAGGGGACGGCACCAACGACGACGAAAAGGAGTGTGGGCTCTTCACACTTCTTCCCCCTTGTCCTCCTCTGAGTTTTCTGGGGGCCCCCCGTCGCCGAGGCACGAGACGCAGCTCGAACGGACCCGAGGAACTACTCTGGAGTCTTGATCGCAGATGGCTTGAGCGGCGGCCAGAGCACCCCGTCCCGCGGGGCGGCCCGACTTAGCGCGCGGGACACGCGGGGAGGCAAGAGAAGGGCACGAGAGGGTGAAGCGGCGACTCGCACAGCGAAACGCGATGCGGCGTGGCAGAGCCGATGACGCCAACGACGAGGACGACGAAGGGAAGGCCACCCAAACGGGGCCAGCGTGAGAACAGGGTCGCAGGATCGCGCCTCATCGCCGACGCATCGGCCATGCATCGGCGACGTCTGGTCTAAGAGATCGGGCCCCGCATCGCGCCTCGTCGCAGATGCTACGGCGACGCGGCGCGATCCTCCGACCCGAGCTGCTCCGGCCACGTTTGGGCAGCCTGGACGTGGATGGGCCGACCCGGCCCAGACCTTGGGAAGCCGCTGGAAGGCCGCCTTGAGCTTGACGTCCGCGAGTTCCGCCGTCAGCTCTTGGATCCTGGCCTTCGCCGTCTCCGTGTCCATCGCAACCTCGAGCGCAGGTCTGCTTGCGAGCGAGGCGCAGACGAGGCACGCAATCGCGAGAACGCGAAAGCTCATCATCGCTGCTGCGGGCGGCAGGCGGTGAAAGCGCGGCGCGCAAACGACGGCGCAAAGTGTTACCAAAGGAGTGGGGATAGCTTGGTCCAGGATGGCAGCGGAAGGAACCTGGCACAGCGAGGCCGCAGCGAGGCAGGCGAGGGGACATGCCGATGTAGAGGCCCGCAAACTTCAAATCGAGACGCCAACTGACAGCTACCATGACCCTCGATGGATCCATCCACCATGCGCGATACTCCATGGAAAGTCGCCGGCCCACCGGGCCAAAGGCGTGCTGGAATCACCGCGCTCCGCGAGCGCGCGGCGGCCCCTGGCGGTCCCCCGACGAGAAGTACCCCAGGCGGTCCCCGGCAGGGCCCCGGCAGGTCTGGGCTAGCGGCTGTGGATGCTGGAGCTCCTGGGCGCGGCCCGGGTGAGCACACCAGGGCGCCCCAGGCGCGCCCCAGGGAGGCCCCAGACACAGCGGGTGGCAGCCCCAACGCACGGGCTCACGCAAAGAGCGCTCCAGGACGGCTCAAGGTGATTTCGAGGCGGCCCAAGCAGCGCTGAAGCCGCCCGAACGAGCGCTCCACCCCAAGAGGGCTCCAAGAGGTCCCTCGTCGCAACGGCTGGATCCGCATCGTGGCCCCGGTCGGAACGCGCCACGGAACAGGTCGGGGGATCGAGTTTGAGGGAAGACGGGGAGCAGCAGCAGGATGGACCAGCATGAGCTGAGGGAGCGGAAGGGGGGCGGGATGGGGTGGGGGAGAACAACAACAAAGAAGAACAAGATGCGTACCGTCACGTCGTCAGCTCTTGAATCCTGGCCTTTGCCATCTCCATCTCCATTTCCCAGGCGATGCCGTGAACATCGAGCTCAGATCTGCTTGCGAGCGAGGTGCAGACGAGGCACGCAATCGGGAGCTCAAAAGCTCAACACCGTTGCTGCGGGCGGCAGGCGGTGAAAGGCCCTGCAGCTCCTGCAGGAAGCGCAGTCGCCAGATCCGAGCCTCAAGCTCGGGAGAAACAAGCCGCCGGCAGGCGTGTGAAACTGTGGGCGACGAACACGCTCCTGCAGGAAGCGCAGTCGCCAGATCCGAGCCTCAAGCTCGGGGGAAACCAGCCGCCAGCAGGCGTGTGAAACTGTGGGCGACGAACACGCTCCTCCAGGAAGCGCAGTCGCCAAATCCGAGCCTCAAGCTCGGGAGAAACCAGCCGCCAGCAGGCGTGTGGAACTGTGGACGACGAACACGCTCCTGCAGGAAGCGCAGTCGCCAGATCCGAGCCTCAAGCTCGGGGGAAACCAGCCGCCAGCAGGCGTGTGGAACTGTGGGCGACGAACACGCTCCTGCAGGAAGCGGACCCGCCAAATGCGAGCCTCAAGCTCGAGGGAAACCAGCCGCCAGAAGGCGTGTGGAACTGTGGGCGACGGACAAACTCCTGCAGGAAGCGGAGCCGCCAAATGCGAGCCTCAAGCTCGGGAGAAAGCAGTCGCCAGCAGGCGTGTGGAACTGTGGGCGACGATTACGCTCCTGCAGGAAGCGCAGTCGCCAGATCCGAGCCTCAAGCTCGGGGGAAACCAGCCGCCAGCAGGCGTGTGAAACTGTGGGCGACGAACACGCTCCTCCAGGAAGCGCAGTCGCCAAATCCGAGCCTCAAGCTCGGGAGAAACCAGCCGCCAGCAGGCGTGTGGAACTGTGGACGACGAACACGCTCCTGCAGGAAGCGCAGTCGCCAGATCCGAGCCTCAAGCTCGGGGGAAACCAGCCGCCAGCAGGCGTGTGGAACTGTGGGCGACGAACAAGCTCCTGCAGGAAGCGGACCCGCCAAATGCGAGCTTCAAGCTCGGGGGAAACAAGCCGCCAGCAGGCGTGTGAAACTGTGGGCGACGAACACGCTCCTCCAGGAAGCGCAGTCGCCAGGTACGAGCCTCTAGCTCGGGGGAAACCAGCCGCCAGCAGGCGTGTGGAACTGTGGGCGACGAACAAGCTCCTGCAGGAAGCGCAGTCGCCAGATCCGAGCCTCAAGCTCGGGGGAAACCAGCCGCCAGCAGGCGTGTGAAAATGAGGGCGACGAATACGCTCCTGCAGGAGGCGTAATCGCCAAATCCCAGCCTCAAGCTCGGGGGAAACCAGCCGCCAGTAGACCTGTGAAAGTAAGAGCGACAAACAAGCTACAACGGATTGGGCGACTACGCTTCCTGCAGGAGCTTGTCCGTCGCGCTCAGTTTCACACACAATTCTTGCTACTGTTGGAAATCGACACTTGATCCTTCCTAGTGGTCGTCTGAGTTCGGAGGCTCACCCCTGGGTTCGCATGCACTGGGAGAACGTAGAGGCCTTGGGAGAGGTCGGTGAGAAGCCTGACCTCATGGCTCCTCTTGATGGGCAGTTATTGGAGTTGTTTCGCAAGGAGGTGGGGGGAATGCTCTTACCCGTCGATATGCGCCAGCTCCAGTGTAAATATCTGACTGTATCCATATTCCCTCCTGTATAGACTCCTGGAACCGAACATGAGCTAGTACGAGCAAAACTGTAAATGTATGATGTGTGATGGCGGTGGCATTGTGTGTGGAGCTATCCTCCCTGATAGACGGGCAGTACATACGCATAGTATAGCTAGGCATGGGTACCAGTCCATGTCGAGTATCCTAAGTGTCCAACAAATGCTATGTATGCTTGACTACGCTTGCTTCCAAGGCCTTGTGTAGACGAAGTCTTCGAGATTCGCTCGCGCGAGGTATTTGCAAACTGTTCGACGTACTCAATATCCCAGGAAGCCCTCATCATACCAATGCCGACTATGCGTGTTTTATGATCGCAATATTGAAGTTCTGCAGTCCCATTTACGCACGCGTCCGAATCCTTGCCCTGTGCCCCGTCCTCCGTGGCTTCGCCGCAGACGTGCCCATGGAAAACTCCCAGCTTGGATGCTGGATCCGCAAGCTTCGCAGGGATAGGCAGAGGAAAAGGGTCCAAAGGCGAATGAGGCGAAGCACGTGGAGAGTGCGAAGTACAAGTGCAAGGCCGTGCTGAAGCAGCTCGTCATCACCTGGGCCAAGTTATACCTCACCAGCGCTGCAGAGGTGAGGGACATCTGCAGCGTGGCTGTTGCTTACGTTACTGATGTCCGTGGACGCGGTCGCGGCCATGGCCGCCGAGACCGCAGGCGTGCAGTATCACAATGCAGCACAGAAGCTCATCTCTTGCAGGCGTGGGTGGCTCTGGTGAAGGCCGCAGGCCAATATCCTCAATGATTCGAGGACTGCAAGACGTGCTTCGAAGTGTACTGGCGGGACGTGGTGCTGGTCAGGCCGCTGCTCGACTTGACAGAAGAGGTCCTCTCGGGCAGGATCAAGATCATTCGCAAGCAGGAGGCGAGGGCGGAGAAGTTTTGCCTGACTTTGCGATGGACTTGCAGGTGCCAGAGCTCGAGCGATACCTTGTGAAGTACCTGAAGGCGGTGGGCGGGAAGCGGAAGGTGGATGCAGCCCATCGCGGGGCCCTCGAGAAGGACGCGGCAAAACCCCTCGATCACACAACGAAGCAGGTTGAACTGCGAGCGCAAACAGTAGAGTGCAGCAGTTTGGGACGGGGGAGCGGGGTGGAGTTGGGACGCTGGGCGGGCTCATTCTCCTCACCGTCCGTCACCACGTCCTCCTCGTCCTCGCCATCCTCCTCCCAGGTTAATGTCATCCTCCCTGCGATCCTCCCGTTACTCCTAGTCCTCCTCCTCCTCCTTCTTCTCCTCATCGTTCCCATCCTCATCCCATCTGCATTCCCATCCACATCCTGATACTCCTCCTCCTCCGCTTCCTCCTCCTCCTCCTCCGCCCTCTCATCGTCCTCCTCCTCCCCTCTTCTTCCTCCTCCTCCTCCTCCTCCTCCTCCTCATCCTCATCCTCATCCTCATCCTCCTCCTCCTCCGCTTCATCCGCATCATCCGCCTCCTCCTCCTCCTCCTCCTCCGATTCCTCCCCCTCCTTCTCCTCATCAGCATCATCAGTATCAGCATCAGCATCATCATCATCATCATCATCATCATCATCATCATCATCATCATCATCATCATCATCATCATCATCATCATCATCATCATCAGCATCATCATCATCATCATCATCATCATCAGCATCATCATCATCATCAGCATCAGCATCAGCATCAGCATCAGCATCAGCATCAGCATCAGCATCAGCATCATCATCAGCATCATCATCATCAGCATCATCATCATCATCATCATCATCATCATCATTCGCCTCCTCCTCCTCCTCCGATTCCTCGTCCTCCTCCTCCTCCTCCTCCTCCACCCCTGCCTTCTCCTCCTCCTCCTCCTCCTGTTTCTCCTCCTTCTCCGCCTCCACCTCCTCCTCCTCCTCCGCCTCGTCATCCTCCTCCTTATATTCCTCCGCCCACCTCGTTCCCGCCTTTTCCTCAGGTTCATCGTCCTCCTCCCGCTCCTCACCATCTCCTCCTCCTCCTCCTCCTCCTCCTCCGCTTCCTCCTCCTCCCCCTCTTCCGCCTCCTTCGCCTCATCCACCTCCGCCTCCTCCTCCTCCTCCTCCTCCTCCTCCTTCTCATCCTCCTCCCTCACCTCCTCCTCATCGTCCTCCTCCAATTCGTCCTCGTCCTCCTCGTCCTCCTCGTCCTCATCACCATCATCATCAGCATCCTCATCATCAGCATCTTCATAAGCATCCTCATCATCTGCATCTACAGTAGCAGCAGCATCATCAGCAGCAGCATCATAATTCTCAGTTGCATGATCACCACCAGCATCATCATCCTAGCCAGCATCATCAGCATCAACAGCATCAACTTCGTCGGCAGCATCATCAGCGTCAAAATCATCAGCACCACCAGCATCAGCATCAGCATCAGCATGATCATGATCATGATCATGATCATCATCATCATCATCATCATCATCATCATCATCATCATCAGCATCATCATCATCATCATCATCATCATCATCCCTGTCCCTATCATCCTCTGATCCTCCTCCTCCTCCTCTTCCTCCTCCTCCTACTCCGCCTCCTCCTCCTCTTCTTCCTCCCCCCTCCACCTACGCACGACTCAAAGGAAGAAGGGAGAGAGGCCCCTCAGTCCTGACTGAAAACTGAAGGGGGACCATGGGAGCGAAACCGTTTTGTCACCTTCCCTGGCCTTGACGCACCCAGACAAAGGGCCAGCGACAGGGCCCCCCCTTTCCAAAAGTCTAGGCAGGCCTGAGCGCCTGTCCGCTACCAACTGAATCTATTGGCCTCCTGGGCTCCGCGAGAAGGATTCAGGACTTGTCCATGAGATAGCTGCCCTTGGCAAGACCCTTCAACACACGGCGACCCCAAGCGGTGGGACGCCGGTTGCACGGTTCCCTGAAGGAGGCCTGAAGCGCGACACCTCCCGCCCCACAACTCGCGCAGACGATGCTCTTCACGCCATTGGACAGCGCAATGGGAAAGGCACGATTGGAAACGCGGCCGTCTCTGCGGAGCGAGGCGAGCAGAACATCAGCACGTGACAGAACGGACGGCACCACAGGCTTAGGCGGCAGCACCACGCAGACATCCTTACACGGCTTCTGCTTGCGCTTGCTAGGAGGCACGTGCAACGCGTCAAGATCGGCCATCTCGATGCCGATCCTACCCGCCCAGGAGGTGGGGGACTGAACGACCTTAGCCTGCCTTCGATAGTTGTCACGATTGACAAGCGACACTCGAGAGAAAGCAGCGGCCTCATGGGCCGCCTCGTCGGCGAGCTCTTTGCCCGCCCGCGCACGCGCAGTGACAATGCCACGGGCGAGATCAGCACAGGTGGCGCGGGCCTCGACCTTCTGCAACCGAAGACCCCCCCCCGCTCCCCGAGGCAGGCCCACGCCATCACCCGGACCACGCCATCACCCGGATGTCTGCCCAGGCCGACTTGGCCGAGCAACGCGAAGTGTTTCCGCTCCTGACAACGCCGCCATACACAAACATGGAGGCAGTCCAAAAGGTGGCCCCAGGAAGTGCAAGACGCAGGGCCATCAGAAAGTGCAAACGCATCGATATCATAAATACCGGCTGGAAGGCCCCCGGCCACGACAGCGTCCGCCACGGGTCTATCATCTTCCAACGCCACTACAGCCC